CTTCACAAAAGTAGATAAAATGGTACATGTACATTGAGTTGATTAGTCATGGCAATTCATTTTGCATTTTAGGAAGAATATATTAGAAGATGACTATAATAGTTTATATGGAGATTTACTATGAGGAGTGAACTCATTAAAAAAGATATTCTTTATCTGAATTGTTTTAAAATTTATTTACACCATATAATAGTACTAATAGTAATAACAATAGTAATAATGATTGAAGTCGATTGGATGTTATGTTATGTTTATTGTGATTGTTATATTAGTAATATGTTCAATATTAATTTAATCTATGCTTTTATATATTAGTCAGAAAAACATTATAAACGCTTCCTCTTTCCAGTAATTAATATTTCAACGATATATATATATATATATATATATATATATATATATATATATATATATATATATATACGTACGCATACAATGACCTATGTATATAAACATCGATGTAGATTTCATCAACAAATTTGCATTGTATTGCGTATATAACATTCTTTTTGTACGAATTGTGAATTAAATACGGCATCGTTACTATTATTATTATTATTATTAGCATGTGTTTATGTAGGCAAAACATCTATATAAATATGTGTATATGCTTGTAGGGATATGGTTATTATCATCATCATTCGATTGATATACTATGTTTATGAATGTACCAGTATCGTTCGTTGTTTAAAAGGTTCATCCTAATATGTATTTGTGCATATATGATCTTTATTTCGAAATGTGAACGTAAACTGTCTTCCATATATATATATATATATATATAGTGTATAACTGAAGTCAAACGTAGAAAATATGAAAACCGGAAATCACTAAATAATTGTTTTGTCTTGATTGAAGACAATATATTGACTGAAGTTACGGAATCCTATTCAATGGACTGAAAATATTTTTTTCCAGACTTTCAGTGGTGGTTTAGCTATGATTACTTAGTGATTTCAACTGAGAAAATTCTACAGTCTGCATAAATCTCTTACGTTAAGAATAACCATGAGCTCATTCGTGACTAGCTTCAAGGTGTAACTCATGCAGTCCTAGTGTGAAGCCGTGATCAGTTGAGTTCTATCAACGTCGGGTGTGAAACATTTATTCAAGGCAGTCAATGGAAGATGGTCATACAGTATCATAAATTGATTAAAATTACACATTAACACCGTTGAATATCGTTTGAGTGATTTAAAAGTTAAACGTTCGCGTGCGAGGTTGCAGGTCCCGTGTTCGGTTCTCGGTTGCTGGGTCGCGGATGTGTACTGTTGAGAAGTCCTATACTAGAACGAAACGGCCATCCAGTGCTTCCAGGTTTTCATTGTTGGCCTAGCCAAGTTCAGTTCGTTGTTCAAACTAAAAAGTATTGTGTTCATTGTAAGACTGGGCTCTCTCTAGAACCATTCTGTTTAGTACCATAGGCGTAGAAGTCTGAGGAATAACCAGAATTGGATGAAACAATTATCTTGTGCTTCCTGAGTTTTTTTCGTGTACGCTATTGCATAATAAACATTGTTTTTCTGTTTTTTAATCATATGAGAACTGAGGTCAATTATTTTGAGAAATGTAAGGCACATAGGTTTTATTCTCTTCAAAATACCCCCGAATTCATGCATTACGCTTGACCTATTTCAGTGTCCATGATTTAACACATCCTTAGATGTTTTTAAAATTCAAACATCTTAACTTCCTCATCTTTGTTTCATGTTTTGTTGTCTCCATTATCTATTAAAGCTGCCTCTTTATGACCGTTATGTATCTTGTTGAACCGATTGAAAAGCTTAGGAAGCTATATCCAATTATTAGGTAGGGTGATCTAATGTAATGATTGAATTATTGACCAGAAATTCTCTTATGATCACTACTGAATTCATACGTTGATTATTCTAATACATCCAGCTCCTCACAGAAATGATTGATTCATTTGTAAAACTTGTTTTTTCAATACTTTATCTTTTTGCATAGTTCATAGCACTTCATGAATTGACTTAAATTTCTTCATATATTTAGCTTGAGATTTCATGTTTCGTTGTCACCATATTTATTCGACTATTATTATTATTGGCTTTATTCATTATTATATTTTTGGTACAATATAGGATTCTCAGTACAAATTATTTCAATAGGTTTCCTTTTCTTATTTATTGATCGATCTTTGCGATAAATATTGAGTGGTCTCCAGTTAATTGTTATCAGTTCAGGACTGTACATGTATATTCTTTTCGATACATATTGCCAGTAACCACGATGTCTCTGGTTGGGCTCTTTTGTAACTTGTACAGCGAAATATCTTAAACTTGAATAAGTTATGATACTAATAGACATAATGATGTGCTAAAACAAACATGCGAAAATATAACTTGTTGAAATATCCAGACGGCAGGAACAGGTAGCCCAGATATTCAAACAGGTCGCCCCCATCATATATATTAGATTGTTGTCGTGTTACTTGATTTCCTAGTGTTTCAAAATTATGTATAATATTCTATGATTTAATGAATTATTTGATGAATTATTCAGTTAATTGTTTATTTGATAATAATCAGTTCTCGTTTTACTTAAAGTATATCTAAGAATAAGCGCAGCAGTGTTATATATACAACTAAATTTGAGAAAGTAGATCACAGGTCATATCAATCGTGTTATGTGACAGTAGTCCATGAATTCTCATTGATTTTTGTTGAACTGCTATGCGGAAGTATGAGCTAACCTGAATGAATTTTAAAGCGAAGATGGGTAGTGGATAGCAATGGAATCCAAGACGCGCGTTTCGTCCTTCTCGGGACTCGTCGGCTGGATGTATCCGGATTCCAGAGTTTATGTTCACACCGAGGCTCGAACCCTGTACCGTTCATTTCAAAAGCCATCACGTTATCCATTTAGCTACTGAGTTCTGAATTCTATTGCCAACCACTATCTATCTCTGTTTAAAAATGCTGGTGACTTATTAGGAATACCGAGGCCATCCCCACGTGATGCACATGTGTCAAAAGAGACTGATCGATTACAGTCTTAAACAACTATGAGAAGATTCAAACAACCAATATATATGAACTAACCTATATGCACTTGTTCATATGGTCATTATCAGATCCTATGAATGATATATTTCAAGATAAAATAAACAAACTCAGAGTATCATTCAACTTACATGTTTATTCGAATTATGAACTGTTTTTGGACATTATACTAACATGTAAAGTAAATTCATCACTGTGTAAGCTCTAGTGCTTACTATATAGTGATAAATTATGTTTCATTTAAAGGCTAAGGAATGCTGTTCGTGGAAGAACAATACATTTCAATAGGTTAGTTGATTCAAGCAGGGGATATTATAAAAGGATCGTATATATATATATATATATATATATATATATATATATATATATATATATATATATATATATATATATATATATATATATATATATATATATATATATATATATATATATATATGGTAGTCTGTAGAAACTTCCAGTTATATTACATGATTTATCATTTGAATCAAATTACAACGAATCTATGCCAAATTTATCTCCCTCAATTTCTCTATAAATGGAAAATTTTTATTCATTCTCACTAAAAATGCATGACGTGTAACTGTTTTAGCATATTTGTTTTGATAAGTAATTTTTTTTTTAAAAATAATAGTGTTAAATTTCACCAATGGATTAGAACTGTTATAGGTATCTGTATAGAATTGCTTTTTGGGTTATTTTTGTAAATCATTTTTTTAAAATTGTTTTTAGAATGCTTGATCTCTTTTTGTATCTATCTGTATTTACAGCGGGTACTTTTATATGAGTAATATAAATGAGTGTCAAACGAATAATTAAATCATTATATTCATGGATATTTTAGTTAAATTTGCGATACCTTAACCAATATGAAATGGCTTAAGTTAAAAATTTGGTTGATAATTGAACTTTAACGTTTTAAAAGACAAGCTCATATTGTGACATAATGACTATAGGGTTTAATCGCTGGTGGCATCATATGTATGTATAGCTGTTCACCGGTTCTTAGTTTTCACTGGTCTCCTAGATAATCTTCATCTGTGATAAAAAAAATCAACTTTATATTATACAAATTTCTATAAGCTATTTGGCTAAATTTATGATATATCATTTGAAATGATAAATTAAAATCTGTCGGTTTGTATTAGCAAATTTTTCAACGACTGAAAACTAGAAGAATCAAAGAGTAATATAATAAACAAAATGACTATCACAATATGGTAAATCAATGTAGAGAAGTGAAATGCCGAAGATTTAGAGAATTACAAATGATTACATTGATGAAAAAGATTTATAGATCAAGTGAATGATTCTGGTGGAGTTGAATTCTCTGAATTTAATCAAGAAACTTTCATTGTCTTGGTAAACAACTCTATCGAGACAAATTTTTAGATTAAAGTGAAATATTACAATTTTCTTACAAATTGTTTTGTCTGTATCAAATTTGACTTGGGTTTTTTTCGACAAAAATTTGTTCTTCTATTATTTGCACATTTATTTTGATTGTCTTCCTGTTTGATCTAATTTCATACTGTGTTACCCAGATTCTTTACTTATTCTCGCGAATTTATCCATGATATTTTCATCTTTTTAAATAAATTAGACTAATATACAATGAATGTATCAGTCGCTAAGGTAACTGTAAAACACGTGAAGTTCAATTATATAGGCTTATTTCCAATAAAAGTTTGAAGCTAAACTACATGATCTGGAATAACGGTAGCATACGTATGTACGTAGTGTTAAAACGATAAATTAAATGTCAAAACAGTTTACTTGGAATCCAAGTTATCAGTCAATGAGATCGAATCCTATCATTCAACCATTTAAAGAATCGTTTTTTTAAAAAAAAATTTTCTTAAATTTAAATAACTCAACATTATGTACTGTTTTTGATCATAATGAAAAATCCTACAAGTATATCTTTTTACTGAATTTTCTTTCAATTATTTCTTTTTAATTTTCCCATGTATACAGTGAAAGTCATTCACGATTCTATGCTAGTCAAGTGGTGTTGGCATTTGAATATCTACATCATTTAGAATTAGTCTACAGAGATTTGAAACCGGAAAACATTCTTATCGATCAATATGGATATTTAAAGGTATTTTCAATTGGTTTGCTTTTTTTATTTATTCATGTTGATAATATCGTTTAAATTTACTCCAATATTCCACTATTTAATTGGAAATGATTGAATTCCACTTTTTCTATTTTGATCTGAACCAGTTGTGTGACTGAAAGTTGATCATAAGAAAAAAGATTGTACTTGACCAATGTGTTATATTTATTAGACTTGTTAACCAATAATTTTTTGTGAAGATTGTATTAATTTCAATAGTTAAGATCATGAGTGAATTGAAGCTAGACCACCATGAAAAACCTGGAAGCATTGGATGACCGTTTCATATTATTGTGGGACTTCAGTGGAGTTCAACTGGGTCTATTATGAGATAATAACTCACTGATGACAATGGTGGATGTGTCACTCAATTTCATGGATTAGTTGAAGTTACACATTAACACCGTTGGATGCTGGCTGGTTCAGTGATGTAGTGGTTAAGCGCTCGCATGCGAGACTGATAAGTCCTGGATTCGAATAAATCAATTATTTAATATCTTTTTAGTTTTCATTAGTTCCCATATATGAAAGTAATCGATGACGAAAATTAACTTTAAATTGGTTTATGTATTTTATAAAAATGAATTGAATGAAAAATATTTATAATAATAAATAAATGTACTACGATATAGAATAAAGAATAATAATTAAGTTATTATAAACAATTTCATTGTTAAGTTTTCAATGTGATCTCATCATAATGTTTTCATTAAATTGTATATTAATAAAATTAATTAGCTTAGTAATGAATGTTGTCGGATTCGATATCAAAAATATCGAGAATTTACAAATAAATTTCTTATTTTGTTTCAGTAGATATATTTGAGTTAGTATCTTGACTATACAATGTACAAATGTTACATATAAATAGAGTAATATTAAGTTATGTTGACAAGCATAATCTTGAGTGCTGTCTCTAATTTCTAGTCTTAGCCATGTTGGTAGATGTAGACTACCTGGTCGGGGTTCGTGCGACTATCGTAACCAATGATTGGAGACTGTGGGTGGCGCGGCTCAGAATCGATCACAATGGTGTAGGTGTATACACTCTCTGTTTTCCTTTAAACTATGAGATTAAAATTATTTCATATCTTTCTTTGTACAGACTAATTCTTTCTTTCTGTACTATATCCTTACATAAAAATCTTTTCTTTATATATTACACCATTGAGTTAACTGCTTCTATGAATCCGGTGTTCGTCATGTTGTGCTAATGAGGTGTGGCAACTTGGACCGACGCATATAATGTACCTGGTCCTACGTTGTAGCTGACTGACTGACAAGCATAATCTGTTGAATTGTCATGTTATATATCATTTGTAGATTTGGAAACATATTTTGTAGTATGACTACATGGTGATAATAATCACAAAAACCTTGAAGAAGATATTTAGTATTTATATTGTTTATTCAAATCTTCCCATTGATGTAAATATCAACTCTCAAACAACAGGTATATCCAATTGATATGTCCCGAATGGGATGAAACAGGCATCCTGGATTCCACTACTAGCCATCATCGATCTCTGCTTAAGATTTAGTATATGATTAACGATCTTTTCGAAACATTATTTGTGTCTATGGTGAAACTATCTGAGTGGGTAATGCCACAATTAAACAATTGTAGGGTATTGATGGCAAATAAGTTGACACTGTGAATCTTCAAAGTCTGAGGTGGTTAGGACATTTGTTATTTAAAGTTATTCCCTTCATATTATTCTGATGAGAGATGTTGGTTAACATACGGATATGTTGGGAGGAGTAGGATAAAGTCAGTCAAACTAAGTTATGATAGTTGTTTTCGAAGAGATTGATCACTTATAAAAGCCTTGTTGACTTCCGTTTTGAGAGCTCGACAATAATCATGAATTACAATTGAAATCCTTAGATATGATGGCTCAAAATTGATGGTTTTACTGAAGTAGTATAGAGTTTTTTTTTCTGTCTTGAAATTCTAAATCTATTGTCACTGTAGAGTTTTCAAACTATTTTTTATGTATTGCCAATGGTTGTAGTCAGTATTATACTCCTCTTTACTTTTCATTCATGTTGGATTCATCACTTCACTGTTTATTGTATATAATGTGGTGATTTGAGCTGATGAAAATAATTACCAAGTTGTACTTCTATGAATCCGGTGTTCATCTTGTGCGAATGAGGTATGGCAACTTGGACCGATGCCTGGTCCTATGTTGTAACTGACTGACATTGTTTGCAACTGATCTATTGTTAATTTTGGCTTAGTTTTCATTGTAACCTGTGTTAATGTTTAGGGTTAATCATTTTATTGTGATATACACTATCTTGATTCTCTAAGTTACAGTCATAAAAGCTGAGAGAAAAAAGTCACTGAACAGTTAAGTGACATCAACGGAAACTAACACGATTTCATTTTATTGATGGAACAGTGGTTAAGTGATTTAAGTGCTTTTCATATTCAACCAATAAATTGACATTTCGAACCTCGTAATAACCTCACTAGTCATATAAACAATATGGCTTAAAGTTGAGTACATTATCCCTTTACTTTGTAACAAGAAAATTTACACTAACATTTGAAACGTCAGTGGGAAATTCAGACAACTAATACAAAAATGAATTAAACTTTAACCCATTGCACAGACTAGTGGCTATTTGTAATCAGTAGCTAAATGGATATCGTGATGGTGTTTGAAGGGAACTGTACTGGATTGGAGTCCTGGAGTGAACATCAACTCTGGGTTGCAGGTACACCCAACTGACGATTCTCAAGTAGGACGAGACGCGCATCCTGAATTCCACTTCTATCTACCATCCATCTCTGCTTATAATGTTTATATTAACATTGATTTAAGATTTCTGATTATAAAGTAAACACCTTTTTTCCTAATCCAACAATAACGATATGATTCTGCTTCTTAACTCATCTGGTTTATAGCTTTTTAGATATATGATTAATACCATTTACATTTGTATGTTATTTACAAAATACACTATTTTTAATGTCATATATAAGTGTAAATGAATTAAGTAGACAACTTTCTACAACCCAATTATTGAAAACTAGTGTTGTTTTTAAAAAAATCAATTTCATGCCAACAATATGTGACTTGAACTCACAATAAAACGATGCATCCTATTAACAGTTGTTTTACACTTCAATTTTTAGACTCCTATCAACCAAATTATTTCCAAATCAATTATATATTAACTAAATATTTTATATTAAGCTTTGTGATTATTTTCTTTAAAAAAATTTACTCTTGGAAGTATTTATTTCTTGCCGTTGTCAATGTCAAGTTTTAAAAATTGATCAGTCTCTTTTTGACATTTATGCATTCTGTGTAAATTCCCTCTATACTGTCATTCAGTGGCTAACAGTGGAATCTTGAACATACATTTTGTTCTGTCTGAAACTCGTTGGTTGTTTAATTCGAAAGGTTTTGAGTTCGACCCTTGGTAAGAACATTATCAATTGGGTACAGGTATATTCAACTAAAGGGTCCCGAGTATGGCAAAACACGTATCAAATTGGATTTCACTGCTAGCCACTGTTCAACTCTAATTAAAACTACTCTTGAAATTTATGGTGTATCTATTATAAGTTAGCAGTAGTAATGTTAGATTTATAGGTGAGATGGATAGATCTCTGAATAAATACCATTGTGAAACAACCAATGCGACTGCACCATTTTTGATGATCTTGATAATGTTTTTACTAGTGTAGTAGTAATATAGGTAACTTTCATACAATATTTTTTATTCGGTTTCTTAGATGTCAGGAATCAGTATTGGAAGGTATTAATTAACACTATTTTTATATTGTACATTTAAAAACAGGGTAGGATAAATTACTGTATCTAATAAAACTTTATTGTTTAATTGCATGGATAAATTGACTAGATAATAGAAACGTTAGATGAGACGGTATGAAAGAGTATATTTATCCTTGGTTTATTAATATTGGTTTTGTTGTGCAGATCTGTTTGTCCAACCACTAAATTTGCTTCTACCTCCCTGAATTTGATCGGTAACAGATAATTCGTTTGAAGTCGAAATGGAGTATTAATTCAAGACATCTTTCTATACCACATGTATTGGATACAATTTTTAGACTCTGAAGATCGTCTTCTTTCTTGTTTAATTGTAGATAAATAACGTGGAAGTGTTTCTTTTGCATTTGATTATATGACACATGATCTATATTGAGAGTTATTTGAGATTAGGTAAACCCTTTTGTCGGTCTTATATCTTTCATTTTAAGTTAAATTTAAACTGATCACTCATTTTCCAATCGCAAATTGATTTTCCATATATCTTATACTTGAACACGTTTAGAAACCGACCTTCTAACCGCTTCCTCATCCTCAAAATTCTTCTACTCTTGAACTTTGAACAGAAAAGCAAGAGGAGCGAAGTGTGGGAAATTAGTTTATGTACAAAAATAAGGGTATTTACGTGAACATATATGACCTTAAGCTATTGGAAGCCAAAATGTGTAACACTTTGAATAATAGTCCAGTCCGATATTAAAAACAGTAAGTTTTTTCGAGGAATTATCTAAGCATTCTGATTACTTTACAAACTCGATTCTCAGTTTCTCTACTAGAACTGGCGTTTTACTACTTGAAATGAAATAGACGAAGCGGGGTTTTACAGCCTACAACCTGATGGTCGAAAATTGAATGACCTAACCACACACTAAATCACAACATCCACTTAAGTTTTGGATTATATCTTACAGATAACGTGGATTAATTGGTTATTGATCCACTTCCCTAAGATTCTTACTAGAATTTCATTATTGATCCGTCTAGTATTTCATTTTACGGAAATAAAATACCAAATAAATCTTTAATTTTTCCTTCAAGGACTATTTTTTACACTTCACGTTTACGTTATCTTGCTATTTGTATTATTATTATTATTACCATTTTTAGTTGGGTGGTAATGGATAAAAGTGTTAGACTGTTTTCTGCCTTTTTGTCACTTTAGTTTACATAAGTAGTGGTTGTTGGTGTTCTTCTCTCCATGTGTGCGTGTGTGTTTGTAGTTTATGTATTCCCTGTATGTACATATGTATGTTTCAGTTTGTAATTGTCTAACGCAAATTGACTGATGAATTGATTACATCATAGTACAATATTCTTAATGGTTCTCTGATATAACGAGACTTGAAACTATAAAACGTGGTTAGCATAGTTACTTATGGATTCCATTACTACTAATACTATCATACACATTTATCTGACAATTTTTATTGATAGAAATAGAAACAAATACAAATGATTCTTTCACTACTTGCTACGGACTACTACTACTGTTATATTCATTTGCTTTTCGTTCGAATGTAGTAAAGCAAATAAGTGTTGGCAGTATTAGACTATATTTATTCACGTCTATATATATATATATATATATATATATATATATATATATATATATATTACTGTTTGATATACGGGATGTCAGTTCTAGTTACAACTAACAAAGTGTGGTTGACAGTAAAAAAAGGAAGGAAACAAACTTAAAAAACGTAACTGTGGTCTCATGAAGAAATAATTGATTGTCAGAATATTGTTTTGTAAGGTTTCATAATAAATAAATACCAGGACTATTACTATGACTGCTAATATCTGTTTACATTGGTTGATCATTAAGTAGACTAATGGCCAATGTCAAGTTTATTTAATTCACATTGATAATTGGATTCTGTAAGTCGAGCTGAAACATCACTTATCAACTATTTTTAATTTTGAGGATTTGTGGAGATCGTGGATGCCCACTGCTGAGGAGTCCCATACTAGAACGAAACAACCGTCCAGTATTTCCACGTTTTTAATGGTGGTCTAGCTTAGATTGACTCGTGAATTCAGCTTTGACTATTTTTAATTAATTAATATTCATTTATAAATTAATTGATCTAATGATGTAACTGATAAAAAATAGTGACTAATATTATCAATGTGTTCACTTCTGACATGTAAAATTATTGTCCCATAAAATTAAATAAAGAAAATATCTATTGACATCAGGAAAATGCTGCATAGAAACTACCGACTCATGAAGATAATGTTCATCGATTCAGTTAAATAAACTAAATGTCATATAATGTTCCTTATAATCAACGGTGAGAATTCCAATAGATCATAATCAACGTAAAACCTAACAGATGTGTATTGTTCAGAGTTCCTGTAACATATAAACATACATAGATGAAATTAGTAAGATGAATGGTGAAAGACTGAAAATAATGTGGCAGTAATGCAAATTGAAAAAAGGTACTAAACATTCGGTTTGATGTGGTAGGATGAGAAGGTATGTGTGAAGGAGTAAAGGAATTCAAGATCAAGAAGAGCATACAGAGTAAATCCATGTAAGTGATTTTAAGTTATGTTACCTAGAATCTTCATCGATTGATCACAATCATCTCGACGACCTTAACCAGGTAAGCTACATCTATCCATATATTTTAAGCTAATCGTCAATAATTTAATGCAATGATATCATTTCTTGATTTAGGCTACCTCCAGGCTTTCTTCCAGCTTAATTCAACACTAGTAAACATCGCTCATCGAAGTAGTAGGTGGTGTTCAGTTTTCCAATAGGTAGTGTAATAGGGATAAAAATTCAAGAGAGTAACGTTCGTAGTCAGTCTTCTTCATTATGATAATCGAGTAAAGATCAATTATCGTAGTCAATGAATGTTAATTTCAATGGATAAAATAATATCACAATAATACTAATAGTTCAAGTTAGTACACAGTAAACACAGAATTCATACTGCTGATGACAAGTCTCATCTTAAAATAAAACATGTACGCGGTGTTTTCTGGGCTCAAATGACCGTTTTTTGGTGTTATTTATTGTCAAGGAAACTTGAAAGAAGACCAATTCTAACTTTTCTTATATATATATATATATATATATATATATATATCTGCAATCCTTTTCTTATTGAGGACTTAAAGTTGAGAATTAATTTGTATTCATTAAACGATTTATGCAGTATAGTAGTTTTGTTGATAGACAAGAATTTGTAATGTAGACTATTGAATTTCAACTCAATTATCAAACGGTATCATGCTTGCCGTTAGAATTGTAAGTACTCTATGCTATTCCTTATATTGTTGTAGAGATGGTATCCTTGAGGAATATTTTAATTATATGAGAAATCTGTCTAGAGCTTAATGGTTCTCAAGGAGTTATTCTGGTTCATAGTGGAAACCAACATTATTTCGCATAACTTCTCGTTAAACAATAGGAAGTTTTAGAAATAAGTCAAATATCACGACAAATTTGTATATTTGTTAAATGTTATCCTATTGGAATTATTAATTCAGTTAATCTTGAGTAAAATATAGGAGAGATCATGATACAACAGAAGAACTGTATGTGAAGCGTAAACTAATGAAAAGTTGTTTTTCTTTTTTCCCGAGGATCACTCATATAAAACTTTTTAAACGCTTATTAATCGGTCGGCATTTGGAATTGAGTTTATTTTTTATTATTACCGAGATTATCTAGTACCAATCTCTCTTGTTCTCTCTGTTTTGCCTTGTTCTTTTCTACAGACATTTTTTGTTCACTGAGTCAGATAATTTAATTCATTTTGCATTAAACTCTCAATTAGTTCATTTTGATTAGTTTGTTTGTAAATCGGTTTGTTATTTCAAGTTTTAATGTTCTAATCTATCAAGGATTTCTGTTAATTATGGTTTACGGTTGAATTTCAATCATGTGATTAATTGACTTTTTCCTTTTGGGATTGATTGATTGATTGACTGATTCTTTTTCGATATGTTTATTGATTGGAGATTGACCTAAATGCCATGGTTCTAGACATTAGTTAACATTCTTTTTTGATCCAGAACTTTGACGTTTTCCGAATCTAATTTGTCTGTATGGATTGTTGTCAATGGTAACATAAGGTGTTATTTCACTGCTAGTCGGTATCCGCTAATATGTCTACTTGTCCAACATGATGGAATTTATTTTGTGAATGATATTGCATGTTTCGCTCAATTTTTAGAATAGATGGGGGAATGGTAAAGAAAAAAAAACGATCCATAGTTATTCAACAATAAATTGTCTAGGTGTTGATTTAGATACCCTAGAATCACATAGAGTAATTAATGAAAATACCTTAATTACAGTGGCGTTATAATAGACTAAACGAAAGGTTTGATTTAACTCAAGAGAAGTAACCACAACTATAGAAATATTTTTAATATTTTGATGATGATGATCTTACCACTTTTTCCAACTTATCAATGCATATATGTATTCAGCTTTAATTTATACTATGTGTGTGAGGATTATTGATATTAGCTGATTGTACAAATCGAAATAGTCTAAACACAACTTAAATCTGTGACATTATTGGTTATGAATGTCAAATACTTTACTTAGCTACTCAGTAGTGCGCACTGCTGAGGAATCCTGCAATAGGAATGAACACTCGTCCAGTGATTCCAGGTTTTCCATGGTGGTCTAACTTCAATTGACTCACGATCTCAACTATTGAAATTACTATAATATCCACAAAAACCCCTTTTGATATTAATTATTTGTTTAATCTCTTAATAAAGTTAATTGAATGTTTTTTTTCCATATTTTCTGTAATTTCCATAAATATTGTTAACAGATAACAGATTTTGGTTTTGCTAAACGTGTGAAAGGTAGAACATGGACTCTATGCGGCACACCAGAATATTTAGCTCCTGAAATTATTCTAAGTAAAGTAAGTTGTATCAGTAAGTTATATTTATTTAAAACAGTAAATATTAATACATGGGGGAACCAAATGTATATGTTTCACACTTCGTTTGATTTGTGTGATGGCTAGGACACTATCCGGGTGCCAAAACCGAAACAGGTTGTTTTCTTAGGGGGCCACTCCTAGAGCTTTTGATCTAGAAATCTAATCCACAAGGCAGTGAATTAACGTTAGGAGATGCAATCTCATGATAGCCGGTAACCAACAGTAGATCCATACACCATTCGTTCCTTTAGGGTTGTGGAGCGCATGTACACCATTGATTTGGATTAATAGTTTTTCAATCCCCTTAGGTAGATCCTCCATATTCTAAGCAAAGTAAGTTATATCAATAAATTATCATAAATATTTGACTTTTATTAAACAAAAACTCATCATTTAAATTATAAATAATTCCATTTATATTCATTAAGTATATGATGTAGTGTTTTTACTAGGATACTACTCAATTTCACACATGGTTTATTTACATTTTTATTAGGTAATTGGAATAATTAAAATGTTAAATCAATAATACATTTAGAAGGTGTTTATAATCATTGAACTGAGAAATTTCATAACACAGGGAAAAATATATCAATTACTCAGTTACTAAGTGATACAATGTTCAATGTTCATTATGTCAGTATCCAACAACCTCAAACGACAGCAAGAATTATTTTTAAATATTATATCAGCTTAAAGCTTCAGTATTGTATTTGTTTAACAGTAGTGTACATGATCAAGATCAGTGCTCTATACTTCTGTCTCTAAAAATGCCTTTATTACATCAAGTTTATTATAAGTTTATTAGCACAATACTGAAAAAGCTTTTGGTTAACTCCGTAGATTTTCGCATATGCTTGTCTGTAAGTTATAATTAATGTGCTAGACATAATAGTCTTACCAGGATTTTCTAGTTCAAAGTAGATGAAACCGTGTTTACATCTACAATCCGTTCAACTACTGTTGATTCATAGCGTAATATGATATTTTAATGATGTAGGTAAATATTGACCAGAAGAAACTTTTCTGAGAGTGGTTTTTATCATATTCCACGTAGTTTTGCGCATGATTTACGTTTACTTTTACTGTATAGATAACATAACACATTTGAAATGTGTAATTTTGTTCCCATCTCTCTGGCACATTGATTGTGTGAGGGATAGTGATACTATTCATCTGTCCAGACTAAAGTTGGGTGAAGTTGAGTTGGTATCTTTGACTTATTAATAGAGAGTCCAGTGTCTTAATTACTATTCCATTCTATTTTTAAAAGAAGTTTACTCAATCATTTTCATTACATTGGACATCAACATACCTTATGCGTTTATTCAATATTTTATTTAATAGACTATAACATTTTACTACTTTCTTGTCATTCTTTAGTTCGTACTTCTCATCTTATTATTTCTACTTAACTTGTTCTATTATTTGCCTCTTTATTCTTACTTAACAACTGTCAATAGTTGATTGTGTAAGAGGACTTTTCAAATCTCATACTATCAAGTAGTTTATTCAAATAATCCTTGGAACATGATAATTTACCACCCATTCACATTTATCTTTGAATTAATCCCACAACAATTCATAATTATAGCGAGACTATAATTTTGAGATGAACTAATCAGACTTAAGATAGCACGTCTTAGATTATAGCCCGAAATTTTTTATGTCCATATAACTAGATACTATTTTGGAATTATAGTCAATGTCAGTTCGTGATGAAAACGCTAATTCTAATTCCTAACCCCTAACGTCCTAATCCTAATTCCTTACACTAATTTACAAACCTCATTTAATCATAGTAAGTTGGTGGAAATTCTCAAGATCACCTAAGTATTACTCAAAGGTCTCACCATTTATACATCTCAATTGTAATTTCTTTCATTGTTCTAAATGATCTATATATTGCTAAATATAACCATATATATGTTAAATGAGTAAATTTTCATTTGTATCTCACAAGTAACAACTTGTTTAACTATCCTTCAAATTTATCTATTCATCATACTATAAAAAGAAAAAGAATGAATTACATGTAACATACTTAAAGTCTCTTATAATTGTGTCCTTTTTCTTTTGTATTCGACAAACACATTCAATTTTACAGTACATACATAATCTTTCTTATTTTTCTTTTTTTTCATTTATCCTAGCAGTTTTCGTTTTTCTATTTTGTCATTGATTTATCTAAAATCTGATGAAGTGTAAATGCTTTAACTATTATCATTTTACATATCAATATACATGATAAGAGACATGTATTACCTTTTGCTGTTATGTGTGTTTCCTAGTTGTTTTAATTATTCGTTTACTACTTTTGATATTCACCTGATCTATTGATTTATTCTGTATTCTTACACCTTTTTTTTCACTGGTCAACTTTTTGTAAATAATTATAGTTTCACATGCAGTTGCATAATTTCACTATGTATCAATACAGAAAGAAAAAACACACAAGAACACATTGAAGAATCTTGACATATTTAATGTTTTCTCCCATTACTAATTGTAATATTGTTTTTTTTTTGTGTATCATAAATGTTTTGTTTTTGGTATCTGTTTATTGACATGCTTATATTTGTATGATGTATTCATCATAGATTGATCTCATTTGTAATATTATTGTAAATCAAACGACGGTAAACAGACACCTCGTCCTACAACGTGACTCATCAACGATACGTGACCACAAGCTCATTAAGTATAGAGTTTGGGAGCTTCACGTATCATGATGAATGTTTAATGCTTAGAACTTATGGGTAGAATTTCAACTTATTTGTGATGATATAGCGTAACGATCATCTGATACGTTTGGTGAAAGTTGTTTCGTTTTTGATATGTGTGATGAGGGGTAGCATAAGGGCTGTATTGATTTCTGAAGTAATGAATTTACTCTGAGGACTGTTATCGGAATCTAATTAAATATGAGAACAAATTAACCTAATCGACAGCAAGTGAGAATTACCTCTTTTTTTTAGAAGTTATCCATATCCATTACCTACAGTATTCAATCTAGGAACCGAGTCTCGCGCGCTTGATCGTGGGTGCGTACTGCTGGAGAGTTGTATACCAGCACGAAATGACCGTCCAGTGCTTCCAAGTTTTAAATGGTTGTCTAACACTGATCGGTTCATGACTTCAACTAAAATATTTACAGACATAATCATCACTCCTTGACACATTATATGAGTATATGATATGTGCTGCGTATGCTGACAGATATAAGTAGTATGTATCAGCGATCGGAAGTGGAACGTCTGCGAGCAGAAAATTGAATTGAAGAGAACAGGAATGGAAACAGAGCAATACAGTTAGAATATTTATGAAGTATTTAATGGAAAACTGATGGAAGATGTGCAAATAATCATTTTAATGTATGATTTTCATATTTTACGAAGGCACTGGGTAATTTTGCGCTAAACAATAAATTGGTCATCCTCACCCAGTCTGCGTTCACTACAGTATATATATGTATATCTTCCAAATGTTTATTTATCATATATAAATATGAAAAATATCCAGCTGAAAATAATGTTAGACTAATGTAGATTTAATAATTAAGGAGTTAAACAATTCAATGAAGATGACAACCAGGTCTGTTGTGAGATATCAGGTCACTGAAGACACTGGTGTATGGTGGCGCAACTTCGTGGATTGGTTGAACTTAGATATTAACACCATTGGATGCCGGCTCAGTGGTCTAGTTGGTTAAGCTGCTGTCGTGAGTCTGATAGGCCCTGAGTTCGAATCTCGCGGGGTGCGGGATCGTGGATGAGCACTGCTGAGGAGTCCCATAGTAGGACGAAACGGCCGTCCAGTGGTTCCAGGTTTTCCATGGTGATCTAGCTTCAATTGACTCATGATTTCAATCTGTGAAAAACTTGATAAGGTTCATTATCTTCCATAGTTTACTTTTGATCCAATAACTATATATTTTCTTTCTTTAACCTCTAAATCACTATTTAGCTTCCATTTTAATATTTTACACTTCCAATCAGTTTATTGCGTAATCGGGTTCTATTTTTCCAATAAACTACTAATCTATAAATATATTAAATGAATGTGAATACGATTTTTCTGTTTTATTAAATGGCATTAATATATACAAAGTTTTTTCGCTGCATAGTTTTTGCTTGTTTAATAATACTGTAGATAGATCTCTTTTTTTGTATCAATTGTGAATGAATAAGAAGTCTTGAAATAATCATCATTTTTTTACTGAAATTACAAATTTATTATCCTTTAGTTTTTCCTCTTAAATTTCTTTACATATTTTAATATAAACAGGGAAATTGAAGAGAAACAATGCTTATTTATTCAGCAATAAATCGTCTTGAATTTGATCTAAACACTCTACAATTACTGAGAGTATACAATAAAAATAATATTTTGAAAACGGTAACGTGGATTGGATTGTGGTTGGATTTGTATACCGTTGGATAGCAGCTCAGTGGTCTAGAAGTTAAGCGTTCTCATGCGAGACCATAGGTCCCATAGTAGGATGAGCCAATCATCCAGTGTCCTCAGGTTTTTGCAATGGTTGTTTCACTTAGATCGGTCCGCTATTTCAATGCGATTCTAATGGCCTCCACAACTCATTCCGACAGTTGTATGCTCATTAGTGACTAACCTCAAGAGGAAATTTCCGTAGCTTTAGTCAGAAGCCGTAGTAAGTGGAGCTTATTTGTTTATTTGAGGATGGTATCCACTGAAAATAATAGATGTTCGCGCAATATCGTGGATTTATTAAAGTTAATATTGTATACCATTGGATTTTAACTCCTAAGGTTAAGTGTTCGCGCTCAAAACTGAAACTCCTTGGTTTTTATCCCAGTTGTTGGGTCGTGGATGTGCACTGCACTATTCTTAGACAATCACTGAAAGCCAGGAAACTCTGGACAGTTTTTTCATCGTGGTATAAGTTTCTAGGTCAGTGATTCATAAGTTTAGCACCCACCTCGAGATATAAAGGTCCTTTGTTCGATCCCCGGTGGGATCATGGATGTATACTGTTAAGGAATTACATGATAAGGTAAAACAGCTATACATTGCATACCAATTGTCATTAGTTCTCTAACTAAAATGAATTCATAATGTGAACTACGAAAATTATTTATGCTTCTTTCAAAAAATTTTCAATTTCATTCGAACTATGGCATCCTGGTGAAATTCCCCATAGTAACAATGAAAGTTCAAAATTTTATAAACACCAAAATTAAAAGTATCCACTTGAGCTATGAATAAGTTTTTTTGTCATCTTGGAATTCTCGTTTTTTAACTGATTATATATGTATGATAGTTACGCTTTCTGATTATATTTTCTAATGTAAAATGTCATCATATTTATTTACATGAAAATATTAAGAGAAACGTTGTAGCTCTGTATAATTTCAAATAATTTCTTGCGGAGAAAAACACATAGTTTCTATTTATGTACGGATATACTGCTCAGCAGTTCTATCTGTATCATTCCATAGATTGGAAATGAGCTATAAAAGTAGGAGATTTGTGTACTGTAGATTTTTTTTTTTTACCATACTTCTCTTCGAAGCATTGCTCATATATCATTGAATGATTGAGTATAGAATATTAAGGTTAGGTATATGCTTTAGTTAAAGATAAGTAATCGGTTGTAAAGTTGTGAATATTCACTGACTGAGGTTTCTTGGAACATACATTATCCTTGCCAAAGAACCACCAACTCCGACGTTTAATGTTATCTAGTGCAACAGTAAGTTGGGAGAAATCTAAGGGGCGGCTAAAAAATGAGATATCAGTTCATGAAGTCGTTGACTATTAGTTTAAACCATATGAGTTGAAGTCTATCCAATAACATTCAATGGTTACAGACGTTCATTAAGTTATTTCAGAATTGTTCATAATAACACAGATACATTCATTTTTTATTTTTCCCTCTGTCTTGAGTTCTAGTATTCTTTCATACATACCTTTTCATTCTGTTTCGTTGGACGATAGTGAGGATGTTCAATATTTTCCATTATCACTATTATTACACCAATTCTACTCATTCATTATTGATCTTATTTTGCTAATATGATAGATTTTTTTATATATTAATTTAATCGAACACTTATTTATCACTAGATTTTAATCAACTATCTAATCTATGTAATTCATATAGAGGAGTATCATAATCAGGTGTTATTTTCACCCTAATAATAATTTGTTTTTCTCCATATTTTCTATTTTATTTACCCCCTAAAAAACCAAAACAATATTCAACAATTGAATATTATCAATGTTTCCTTGTTCAATGTACTTTTGTGCTTTCCAATACATTACTCTCTCAATCTAAACTTTATCATACTAACCAATGTCTGTTTGTTCCTTTTTCAAAAAAAAAAGAGAAGAATTTTAGGATTGTTTTTTCTGAGATTTTATCTCTTTTTGTTTTGAGCACATATCTATGATGTTGATAAATGATTTACACAAATGAGTCAATAAAAACTCAGCAAAATGTGTAAATGTAATTTTGGCTTAAACATATGATATACATGTTAGTGAATATATGAAGGAAAAAAACACAGCAACAACAAAGGCATTGATTTTTTCAGTTATTCAAATGCAACATAGAACCTGACATGTTTGTATATTTCAGTTTAATTGATCATAATCCATTAGGGTAATGAGATGAAATTGTCAGGGCAAATCCCTAGATTAGTAAAGGTAGTAACAATATTGATTGAAATAAAAATGATTAGACATATAAGACTTCAGAAAAAATTGACCAAACTAATGAAACAGTTTAAAAAATCTAAAGGAAGACAAAGAGTGGATGCACTCGTGCTATTGTAAACGGTTACTAGCTGTCATATAATGTTTCTAACCGTTGGTTATGGTAATCGCGTTAATTAAGTAGTTTACATATGTTTATATGGCTTAGTCCAACTGTCAATAACATCATTGACGGAATCCACGTTTTAGTTTAGCCATCGCTAGTTTTCTCCCAGCTTACTGTTTCACTATCCATCATCGCACACGTGAAGGTAGGTGGTGGTACGTGCGTAATATATATTTTAATCATCTCATTTAATAAACATTCTCTACCTGGTTAATCGATTTTCCATCCTTACCTGGCACTTTATTTCTAATCTGAGAATGACTAAATCGATATTCTCAGTAATATACAAGCAATGGTTTAACTTTTTAGCTATATATCGTCAATTATATTTTTGAATGTCAGTGTGCAAGTATGTAATATTTTTGGTTATAGAATGTTTTAATATATTTAGATAGTAGTTAACATGGAAATTTAGAATGTATTTATCATCCTATAGAAAACTTTTCATGAATCTCAGTGTTGATATTCCAACATTGAAATTCGAAAACGCTTTAAACTCCAATTTAATATTTATTAAACTCTATTAATTATCGTCAAAAATGTGTTCAACACATACGAAAGTATGTGTATAGAATAGACTTAACACAAGGACAACAAAGCTTTTTTACATTATTTAAATAAATAATACAAATTACAAGTTACATGCCTTTTATTATTGATTCTCGTCTTCTAGTAAGGGACTTTTTTTTGTT